ACGATCAGTAATACCAACCTGGCTTAGCAGCTAACTAGATTGGGAGGATCTGCCTTGTGAAACATCGAAGAAGATAGAATACAGAAAACTAGTAGAGAGCCACGGTAGGAACTGGGGTTGTATGAACATCTACAAGGGTCTAAGCTAGATGAATCCGTAAAATGGGTACAGACCACTCTAGTAGGTATGCTTCGAGGTTAACTGGCTCTACGATACTTACAATGTATTAGGTACAATGTATCCTGAGAAGACTTAAGCCATTCTGAATAAATGGATCCTTAACAAGCTAGCTGGCTTAAGTGGTTAGGTGTTGCGATGACGTTAGGTTGGATTTGTATAAGTTAATGATCAGAGTGTTTAAATAGGTAACTCACAAGCAGGTTACAGGTATGGCAGCATAGTGTAGAACTAATCGGGTGGTCTAATCATCTGTGCAGCAGACTACTTAAATAGACAATGACTAAAGTTGTACATGTGGCTTGTTGTACACTCTTCATGTAATTACAAACAGTAGGGACTATCAATAGATATCTCATATGCAATTCTAATAAAATTCTTTTAGCAATATAAGCTGCCTTAATAACAAAAAAAAAAAAAAAAAAAAAAGTATAATATTGTTAGAGGTAAATCAAGTTAGAGCTAATGTGCAAAGATTCTTAAAAACGTGATCTAAAATATGACTAAGATCATAATTTAGATTATAATCTCAAACTGTTAATCATGTTATCTGATTTTTCCCTATTGTATACAAAAGAAGCCCTAGTGATCAGCTTATGATGCTAGCCTGATACCTTATAAAAGAAATATTAACTAATCTAAAAAAGAAAAAAGTAAAAGCAAAATTAATACAATATGCAACAAGAAAAAGGTGAAATAACTCACTTTTACAAGCTCATAGCTAAGCCTTAGCACTATGAAGATGATTTTTGGGTAATACAGCTGCAATACTATGAGCAGGATCTACAAAATAAAGAAGTTAATAGAAAAAGAGAAACATGAGTCAAGGAACAGTTCAGAGAGAATTGTGAAAATAAAAAAAAAAGAAAATATTAGTAAGACAAAATAAATAAGCTGCAGAATACTTCTCTTAAAAATTGGTTATAAAAAGTCCTCCTTTTGTCTTGAGTTAGAAGATAACTTCTTTTGTCTCTTATCATTATATAAAACAAATAAATAAAATTTAATTAAATAAAGATTGTTATAAAACCTAAATTCTATCATTGTTGAATTGGTTTCTCCCATATAATATGTTTAATTGCCTTGTCTTGCTAAATTGTTTCTACCTTACAAATCTATTGAATAATATTATGTGAAGATCTGGAAATATGAGCAACTAACTTGTCATTTTTTCTTCTTTCAACATATAAAAATTTTTTTGTAATACATGAAGATTTCAACTAAATTAATATACTATTTTTTTACCTTTAAGACTATAGTTTTTTAACAACTAATACAATAAGATGCAGAAGTTTAAGAAACTTGATAAGAAGTAAATATTTTAAAGAGTCAGAAGTTAGTCTAGTATAATAAGTAATGTTATGTGAAATTCTGCTTTAACTACTATAACTTTTAAAGTCTTTATATTAGTACTTGTATAAAAGTATTATTCTAAATCACACTCAAATTTCTGTTTGCATCTATTTAGATCATAAGTATTGGTTATAAAGTGTGAACATTTAGCTATACTAATTCTAATAAAATTAATAATGAGTTTATTTGTACTAGTTAATAAATTATACTTGAAACTTGAAAGTATTATTACAAAACAAATAAAGTAAATATAAAGTATATATTACAAAATCAAAAACATCTACTATTATGCTAATAAAATATATTATGAAATCTAAAAGTACATATAGCAAAATCTAAAGTCTATGATTATTGTGAAGTTCAAACTAAATAATTACATCTAATATAAAAAAGAACTTGAATTAAATTATAATAAAAATAAAAATAAATAAAAATCTAAACTAGTGAAAAAACATATAATATAAAAGAAATTTAAATCAGAATTATATTTATAGTGTTCTTTTAGAGCATTTTATTATCAATTATTAGAATATGATTAAAACTTTATCTGGAATATGATCTGAGGTATAATTGATATCCTTTCTGGAGTATTTTATCAACTAATTAAAATAAAATTTTGCTATGCTGCAATGCTTATTACATTTATGAAATAATTACAGACTAACTTAATAATATAGCAAGTTAATATGAAGAAAATAAAATCAAAAAGCAATTTTAATTTATATAATCTTTTTGAAGCTATAGTTTATTAAAATTGCTAATACATTACTTACAATTGAATTAACCAGTTAATCAGATGAATTTTGTTTTCACATGTTTATAAATAATTAATTCAAGTTACTCTAGTAATAATAGGTTAACCCAGATCTGAATAACTCTTATACAGGTACTATCACATAGTATTACTAATATTATAGATATTGTGAAATAAAGTTTACAATGTTTAATATTTAAGAGACTTTCCTTCAATATTAATTAATAAAAAAGTTTTTTAAAATAAATTTGCTTCTTGGGTTAATTATTTTCTTGAAAATATTTGCAAAACACAATAATTAATAAACAAAGATTGCTTTTTATATAGTTATATTTGAATAAAATTTCATATACTATTACTATCTAAGTTATTTTAAAGTTTAAATCAACTTAAATTAATTCTGAATTTACGATATTCTGAATCTACCTACAATATATATATTTAATATATACATATGCTTAAATATTTCAGCAATATACAGAATGGCTTAGCAATAAATTTTGACTAAGATTGTTATTTACTATTGCAGTAAGTACTCTATACACTGAAATGGATCTATTTTATTTATAGTAATTTTATCAATTTTCTATTTTTTTTAATCTTTTAATATTCAATTACTGAATTTTATATAATATTTTTGTGACATTATTCATCTTTAAAAAGATTGCAGAAACTCTATAGTAGAATTTAGCATAAGATGTCTCTAGGAATTATAATGCTTTCTAATATTTAAGATTAAAGAAATGACTTAGAATAATTTATTTATTAACCTGAAAGAAAAGAAAGATTTTACTAATATTATTATCATCTGGGAAAATAGTAAGTCAGTCACTTAATCTTCAAGATCTTTATATGATATACTGGGATAACCTATTAAAAGAAGATATAGTGATTAGGCAAAGAGAATTCTAAGGCTTCAGTTATTGTTTGAACTCTAGTCACATAGTTGGTCTTAACATTATTGAATCTCTTAACTTTCCTTAATCTATTCAAGTTAACCTATTTTCTCTCTTAGGATAGTTAAACACAAGATTTACTAGGCAAGTTCCCTTTATTCAATAACTTAGGACACTTTATTCTTATCCAAAGAGTAATTGGGTAGTGTAACATTATCACAGAATTAGTTTATTATTATTAGTAAAATATGGGTTTAAAATTATTTAGCGAATTTATTGTATCAAGAAAAATTTGAATGATTTACTTATCAGTGAGAAAGCTTTATCAAGTGAATAATGATTTTTATTAAAGAGTAGAATTTCTTTCTTATATACTTGTTAGAACAATAGGTTTGGTGATAATGTTTATTACTCTTAAAACCCTTATAATACATATAATAAATAAAACTATTAAATCTAATAAAACTCTTATAATGTTTATCTCTTTTAAAAATGTTATAACTAGTATTCTGAACAGGTTGAATTCAGATTAGATTATAGCCAATCTGAACCTAACATAAATATTCAGATTGGGTCAGGTTGGAACACATTCAGTAAGGATAGTAAAAAATCACTTTTTAATAATTTTAATGTTTTTTAAACTGATTTAATAAAATATTTTAAAACATTGTTGATTATGATACTGATGGCAAAAACCAAAATTACTGCACCTGATTGGATAATTTTAATTTCAGTATTGCTGTGATATTTAAATAATATTATGATATTAAATATAGTGAAATAATGTTAAATAAAATCGTATTATATGATCTGAAATAAAATTTACTCAGTTATCAATGATGATGATTTAAATCATAAAAAAAATCATTTTAAAGCAATATAATATTAATTTAAAAAATTGTATTTTAAATCATTTTCTATTCCTAACTTTTGAGTTAGCATTTCAACCCAACTCAAACCTGATCTAAAATTTTTAAAGCTAATATAAGCTGCTGTCAATAGAAAACAAACTAAGTAAATTTTTTTGAAATTTTAAACAAATTTTAATAATTTTTTTTAAAATAAATGTTAAAATTTGTAAAAATTTATTTAAACAATTTTATATTAAATTTAATTAAGTTATTGTTAAGTTATTGTTGTTTAAAGTTTTAAAACAATTTTAATAAAAACAATTTGCTTAATTTCTATTGACAACAGCACATATATTATTATAATTTCTTGAGTAGAGGTCAGAACTGAATTATGAAATTCAACTTCAACTTTGGGTTAAACTAGTTTAAATAGTAAATCATTTTGTAATATTCTAATTCTGTTGTAACCTTTCAACAAACCGGTTTTCAAATTAGTATTCGGTTTTATTTCAGTATTTTCTTTTTTTATCAAATTTTAAAATTATATATTAGTAACCAATTTATCCAATATAACAAAAAAGTAATTTTAGATTTTCTTTTCAGCTAAATACTAATCTAACAATTTGAATTAAATTCAGTTTAAGCTAATAATACTTGATAAAACTATTTTAGCTATAATAAAATAGTTTCACTAATAGTTTTATCTGATGAAACCTTGATGAGTGATGAAACTACTGACATTTAACGAAACTACTAATGAAACTCATTTATTATAAAACATAAAAAATTACTTTATAAGCATATTATTTTTTATTTTTTTAAATTTTGGTGATCTGTTTTTTGAAATGCTATGGGTAAATTTTCTGATGTACTATATTCACCCTTCAAATTATTTAAATTTTCACTATCTTTGCCTACTTTATTTACACTATTTAAACTATTACTATTATCTTTTTCATTTTTATAATCCTATTCCTTAACTAAATCTGCTGCTAATTCTGTAGAATTAAAATCAAAAACTCCCTGTTCTACTATATTACCTATCAGCAGTTTGTCATATTCAATTTTATCAAATTCTTAATATATGAATTATCACTATCTGATTTATTATTTTGAAAAATTTCATCATTTAAAAATACAATATTTTAATATCAAAACATTCAATAATATTTAAATTATACTCAACTTCCTCTATTTCAGAATCTTCAATCATTTCATCATCATCTTCAGCCAAAAATATTGCAGAAATTATTTTTTCTTGCAAATTATTAGATGTTAAAATTTTATTAAAGTAAGCTAGTTTTTTTTTATATTTGAACTATAAAAAGACTGAATTTGTGCTATAGCTTGAATTCGGGAAAGAGAGAGCCTTTGTCATCATTTTCCATATAACTAACCTAATAATGAGAAAGTTCTTTCACAATTAGCTGAATAGAAAGTAATTAAAAATAGTTTAATTATGAGATATCCAATTGATTCAAAGCCAACATAATTAGTTATCCATTATAATAAAAAAGTATTAGCTTCAAAACAATAAGATAAGTCAAACTCATCATTTTTTTCTTGAAATTGTTATATATATACTACAAGATTTGTATATTCATATTAATCGTACTCTTCTTGTTACTATATTTTAATTGCTATCTTTGCAATTATATAAAATTGTTGGTCTCATAATCTAATATCTAATAAAAAATATATATTATTATTATAATTTGCTAATTTATTAAAAAATTTTAAACTATAATATATCATGATATCCTAGGTAAAGAAAGTATGCCAATATATAATTCTCACAATCAAAATTTTTTTACCTTCTATTAATTACTTGTATACAATAATTTTTAAATATATTAATTCAAAAAATTAAAATTTTTTTGATTAAAGCTACTAACTGGACAAACTGAATAAAACAATCAGCTAAAGTAGTTAATTGAGCTTCTAAATTTATAATTATTATACAAATAGGAGCTAAAACTTTAACTAAAATTTTAAGATCTAAAAAAAAAAAGTTCTTTTTAAAATTTGTTTTATCTATGATTAGTAATTAAATCTGAATTTTTATTCATAATCTATATATATATAAATTTAATACTTTTTTTTTTTTTTTTTTTTTTTTTTATTTTTAAGGTGGCTTACATTGCCGGGCAATTTTTATTAGTTTGATGTATGAGATTACACATAGGCAATTCCTACAGTTTGTAATTACATGAAGAGTGTACAACAAGCC